CCTCTCGTTGCTAGTATATGTGTAAGCAAGAAAATCTGCTTATACATAGACACCAGTCAACACGACTAAGCTTCCCGTCATCGTGTGACGTCAAGGGTCAACGGTCAAGCCCTTGTCCAAAATAAGAAAAATGGACACAGTCCTTGCACGTAGATCATGAGATAAGGTTCCAGAGCTTTCCAAAGTCTGCCAGGAAAGGGCTAGATGGTAGCTGTGAATGTGCAAAATCAATCTAAAAGCATTTCCTCTCGTTGCTAGTATATGTGTAAGCAAGAAAATCAGCTAGAGCTGGCTATTCACTTTTGCCCAGTGGCCTAATGGATAAGGCATCAGCCCTTGTCCAAAATAAGAAAAATGGACACAGGTCTTGCACGTAGATCATGAGATAAGGTTCCAGAGCTTTCCAAAGTCTGCCAGGAAAGGCTTAGATGGTAGCTGTGAATGTGCAAAATCAATCTAAAAGCATTTCCTCTCGTTGCTAGTATATGTGTAAGCAAGAAAATCAGCTAGAGCTGGCTATTCACTTTTGCCCAGTGGCCTAATGGATAAGAGCATCAGCCCTTGTCCAAAATAAGAAAAATGGACACAGGTCTTGCACGATAGATCATGAGATAAGGTTCCAGAGCTTTCCAAAGTCTGCCAGGAAAGGGCTAGACGGTAGCTGTGAATGTGCAAAATCAATCTAAAAGCATTTCCTCTCAAGGTTAGTATATGTGTAAGCAAGAAAATCTGCTTATACATAGACAGTCAATCGACTAACTTCCCTCATCGCGTGACGTCATAGTCAACGTCAAGCCCTTGTCCAAAATAAGAAAAATGGACACAGTCCTTGCACGTAGATCATGAGATAAGGTTCCAGAGCTTTCCAAAGTCTGCCAGGAAAGGGCTAGAGGGTAGCTGTGAATGTGCAAAATCAATCTAAAAGCATTTCCTCTCGTTGCTAGCATATGTATAAGCAAGAAAATCAGCTAGAGCTGGCTATTCACTTTGACCCAGTGGCCGAATGGATAAGGCATCAGCCCTTGTCCAAAATAAGAAAAATGGACACAGGTCTTGCACATAGATCATGAGATAAGGTTCCAGAGCTTTCCAAAGTCTGCCAGGAAAGGGCTAGACGGTAGCTGTGAATGTGCAAAATCAATCTAAAAGCATTTCCTCTAGTAGCTAGTATATGTGTAAGCAAGAAAATCAGCTAGAGCTGGCTATTCACTTTTGCCCAGTGGCCTAATGGATAAGGCATCAGCCCTTGTCCAAAATAAGAAAAATGGACACAGGTCTTGCACGTAGATCATGAGATAAGGTTCCAGAGCTTTCCAAAGTCTGCCAGGAAAGGGCTAGACGGTAGCTGTGAATGTGCAAAATGAGCAAATGAATGTGCAAAAAAAAATCAGCTAGAGCTGGCTATTCACTTTGACCCAGTGGCCAAATGGATAAGGCATCAGCCCAAGAATTGTTGCAGAATTATATCCTTCACTGTAACATTTTGCTCACATGTGCCAACAGTTTAGCAAGGACCTGCAGAAAGATTTTCTTAGTAGCAGCTATTTGGCTCGTTGGTCTAGGGGTATGATTCTCGCTTAGGGTGCGAGAGGTCCCGGGTTCAAATCCCGGATGAGCCCATCTTTTACGTTTCAGATTGGAAAATACTAATTGAACCCTGAGCCTGTGGCTACTGGGGTGTTTGGAAGGCTGCATAGACACCAGTCAACACGACTAAGCTTCCCGTCATCGTGTGACGTCAAGGACAATGTTGATGCTAGTCTGTTGAGCAGAAAAGACTCTTTATTGGATTTCACCCATTCAGGTTTAGCCTACCTTTGGTTACTGCCTTGGAATACCAACTCTGGCGATGAAAACTAGCAAACTCTCAACCACACCAAGCAAGCTTTGTAACATAGTTAGTCAATTGCTGGCGAGACAATCATGTGATGTGAGCAGTCAAGCTCTGAATAAGGAGCTTGTTGATGCTAATCTGTTTATCATAGGAAGCCCCTTTGCCGAGAATGCATCGTCCAGGATGAATCAATTTCAGCCCTTGTCCAAAATAGGAAAAATGGACACAGGTCTTGCACGTAGATCATGAGATAAGGTTCCAGAGCTTTCCAAAGTCTGCCAGGAAAGGGCTAGAGGGTAGCTGTGAATGTGCAAAATCAATCTAAAAGCATTTCCTCTCGTTTAGCATATGTATAAGCAAGAAAATCTGCTTATACATAGACACCAGTCAACACGACTAAGCTTCCCTCATCGTAGACGTTAAGGTCAACGTCAAGCCCTTGTCCAAAATAAGAAAAATGGACACAGTCTTTGCACGTAGATTATGAGATAAGGTTCCAGAGCTTTCCAAAGTCTGCCAGGAAAGGGCTAGATGGTAGCTGTGAATGTGCAAAATCAATCTAAAAGCATTTCCTCTCAGTGCTAGCATATGTGTAAGCAAGAAAATCAGCTAGAGCTGGCTATTCACTTTTGCCCAGTGGCCTAATGGATAAGGCATCAGCCCTTGTCCAAAATAAGAAAAATGGACACAGTCCTAGCTACGTAGATCATGAGATAAGGTTCCAGAGCTTTCCAAAGTCTGCCAGGAAAGGGCTAGAGGGTAGCTGTGAATGTGCAAAATCAATCTAAAAGCATTTCCTCTCGTAGCTAGTATATGTGTAAGCAAGAAAATCAGCTAGAGCTGGCTATTCACTTTTGCCCAGTGGCCTAATGGATAAGGCATCAGCCCTTGTCCAAAAATAAGAAAAATGGACACAGGTCTTGCACGTAGATCATGAGATAAGGTTCCAGAGCTTTCCAAAGTCTGCCAGGAAAGGGCTAGACGGTAGCTGTGAATGTGCAAAATCAATCTAAAAGCATTTCCTCTAGTTAGTATATGTGTAAGCAAGAAAATCAGCTAGAGCTGGCTATTCACTTTGACCCAGTGGCCAAATGGATAAGGCATCAGCCCTTGTCCAAAATAAGAAAAATGGACACAGGTCTTGCACGTAGATCATGAGATAAGGTTCCAGAGCTTTCCAAAGTCTGCCAGGAAAGGGCTAGATGGTAGCTGTGAATGTGCAAAAATCAATCTAAAAGCATTTCCTCTCGTTAGCTAGCATATGTGTAAGCAAGAAAATCAGCTAGAGCTGGCTATTCACTTTGACCCAGTGGCCAAATGGATAAGGCATCAGCCCCTTATTCAAAATAAGAAAAATGGACACAGTCTTGCACGTAGATCATGAGATAAGGTTCCAGAGCTTTCCAAAGTCTGCCAGGAAAGGGCTAGATGGTAGCTGTGAATGTGCAAAATCAATCTAAAAGCATTTCCTCTCGTTGCTAGCATATGTTAAGCAAGAAAATCAGCTAGAGCTGCCTATTCACTTTGCCCAGTGGCCTAATGGATAAGGCATCAGCCCTTGTCCAAAATAAGAAAAATGGACACAGGTCTTTGCACAGTAGATCATGAGATAAGGTTCCAGAGCTTTCCAAAGTCTGCCAGGAAAGGGCTAGAGGGTAGCTGTGAATGTGCAAAATCAATCTAAAAGCATTTCCTCTAGTAGCTAGTATATGTGTAAGCAAGAAAATCAGCTAGAGCTGGCTATTCACTTTTGCCCAGTGGCCTAATGGATAAGGCATCAGCCCTTGTCCAAAATAAGAAAAAATGGACACAGGTCTTGCACATAGATCATGAGATAAGGTTCCAGAGCTTTCCAAAGTCTGCCAGGAAAGGGCTAGACGGTAGCTGTGAATGTGCAAAATGAATCTAAAAGCATTTCCACCGTGCATAGCATATGTGTAAGCAAGAAAATCAGCTAGAGCTGGCTATTCACTTTGACCCAGTGGCCAAATGGATAAGGCATCAGCCCAAGAATTGTTGCAGAATTATATCCTTCACTGTAACATTTTGCTCACATGTGCCAACAGTTTAGCAAGGACCTGCAGAAAGATTTTCTTAGTAGCAGCTATTTGGCTCGTTGGTCTAGGGGTATGATTCTCGCTTAGGGTGCGAGAGGTCCCGGTTTCAAATCCAGGATGAGCCCATCTTTTACGTTTCAGATTGGAAAATACTAATTGAACCCTGAGCCTGTGGCTACTGGGGTGTTTGGAAGGCTGCATAGACACCAGTCAACACGACTAAGCTTCCCGTCAACGGTCAAGGACAATGTTGATGCTAGTCTGTTGAGCAGAAAAGACTCTTTATTGGATTTCACCCATTCAGGTTTAGCCTACCTTTGGTTACTGCCTTGGAATACCAACTCTGGCGATGAAAACTAGCAAACTCTCAACCACACCAAGCAAGCTTTGTAACATAGTTAGTCAATTGCTGGCGAGACAATCATGTGATGTGAGCAGTCAAGCTCTGAATAAGGAGCTTGTTGATGCTAATCTGTTTATCATAGGAAGCCCCTTTGCCGAGAATGCATCGTCCAGGATGAATCAATTTCAGCCCTTGTCCAAAATAGGAAAAATGGACACAGGTCTTACACGTAGATCATGAGATAAGGTTCCAGAGCTTTCCAAAGTCTGCCAGGAAAGGGCTAGAGGGTAGCTGTGAATGTGCAAAATCAATCTAAAAGCATTTCCTCTCGTTGCTAGCATATGTATAAGCAAGAAAATCTGCTTATACATAGACACCAGTCAACACGACTAAGCTTCCCGTCATCGCAGTGACGTCTAATGGTTAACGGTCATCAGCCCTTGTCCAAAATAAGAAAAATGGACACAGGTCTTGCACGTAGATCATGAGATAAGGTTCCAGAGCTTTCCAAAGTCTGCCAGGAAAGGGCTAGATGGTAGCTGTGAATGTGCAAAATGAATCTAAAAGCATTTCCTCTAGTGGCTAGTATATGTGTAAGCAAGAAAATCAGCTAGAGCTGGCTATTCACTTTGGCCCAGTGGCCTAATGGATAAGGCATCAGCCCAAGAATTGTTGCAGATTTATATCCTTCACTGTAACATTTTGCTCACATGTGCCAACAGTTTAGCAAGGACCTGTAGAAAGATTTTCTTGTTAGCAGCTATTTGGCTCGTTGGTCTAAGGGAATGATTCTAGCTTTGGGTGTGAGAGGTCCCGGTTCAATACTCGGATGAGCCCATCTTTTACGTTTCAGATTGGAAAATACTAATTGAACCCTGAGCCTGTGGCTACTGGGGTGTTTGGAAGGCTGCATAGACACCAGTCAACACGACTAAGCTTCCCGTCATCGTGTGACGTCAACGGTCAAGGACAATGTTGATGCTAGTCTGTTGAGCAGAAAAGACTCTTTATTGGATTTCACCCATTCAGGTTTAGCCTACCTTTGGTTACTGCCTTGGAATACCAACTCTGGCGATGAAAACTAGCAAACTCTCAACCACACCAAGCAAGCTTTGTAACATAGTTAGTCAATTGCTGGCGAGACAATCATGTGATGTGAGCAGTCAAGCTCTGAATAAGGAGCTTGTTGATGCTAATCTGTTTATCATAGGAAGCCCCTTTGCCGAGAATGCATCGTCCAGGATGAATCAATTTCAGCCCTTGTCCAAAATAGGAAAAATGGACACAGGTCTTGCACGTAGATCATGAGATAAGGTTCCAGAGCTTTCCAAAGTCTGCCAGGAAAGGGCTAGAGGGTAGCTGTGAATGTGCAAAATCAATCTAAAAGCATTTCCTCTCGTGCAAGTATGTATGTGTAAGCAAGAAAATCTGCTTATACATAGACACCAGTCAACACGACTAAGCTTCCCGTCATCGTGTGACGTCAAGGGTCAACGGTCATCAGCCCTTGTCCAAAATAAGAAAAATGGACACAGTCCTTGCACGTAGATCATGAGATAAGGTTCCAGAGCTTTCCAAAGTCTGCCAGGAAAGGGCTAGATGGTAGCTGTGAATGTGCAAAATCAATCTAAAAGCATTTCCTCTAGTAGCTAGTATATGTGTAAGCAAGAAAATCAGCTAGAGCTGGCTATTCACTTTTGCCCAGTGGCCTAATGGATAAGGCATCAGCCCTTGTCCAAAATAAGAAAAATGGACACAGGTCTTGCACATAGATCATGAGATAAGGTTCCAGAGCTTTCCAAAGTCTGCCAGGAAAGGGCTAGACGGTAGCTGTGAATGTGCAAAATGAATCTAAAAGCATTTCCTCTCGTTGCTAGCATATGTGTAAGCAAGAAAATCAGCTAGAGCTGGCTATTCACTTTGACCCAGTGGCCAAATGGATAAGGCATCAGCCCAAGAATTGTTGCAGAATTATATCCTTCACTGTAACATTTTGCTCACATGTGCCAACAGTTTAGCAAGGACCTGCAGAAAGATTTTCTTAGTAGCAGCTATTTGGCTCGTTGGTTGAGGGTATGATTCTCGCTAGGGTGCGAGAGGTCCCGGGTTCAAATCCCGGATGAGCCCATCTTTTACGTTTCAGATTGGAAAATACTAATTGAACCCTGAGCCTGTGGCTACTGGGGTGTTTGGAAGGCTGCATAGACACCAGTCAACACGACTAAGCTTCCCCGTTCGACGTACGCGTCAAGGACAATGTTGATGCTAGTCTGTTGAGCAGAAAAGACTCTTTATTGGATTTCACCCATTCAGGTTTAGCCTACCTTTGGTTACTGCCTTGGAATACCAACTCTGGCGATGAAAACTAGCAAACTCTCAACCACACCAAGCAAGCTTTGTAACATAGTTAGTCAATTGCTGGCGAGACAATCATGTGATGTGAGCAGTCAAGCTCTGAATAAGGAGCTTGTTGATGCTAATCTGTTTATCATAGGAAGCCCTTTTGCCGAGAATGCATCGTCCAGGATGAATCAATTTCAGCCCTTGTCCAAAATAGGAAAAATGGACACAGGTCTTGCACGTAGATCATGAGATAAGGTTCCAGAGCTTTCCAAAGTCTGCCAGGAAAGGGCTAGAGGGTAGCTGTGAATGTGCAAAATCAATCTAAAAGCATTTCCTCTCGTTGCTAGCATATGTATAAGCAAGAAAATCTGCTTATACATAGACACCCAGTCAACATCACTAAGCTTCCCATGGCCATCGTAGTGACGTCAAGGGTCAAGGTCAAGCCCTTGTACAAAATAAGAAAAATGGACACAGTTCTTGCACGTAGATCATGAGATAAGGTTCCAGAGCTTTCCAAAGTCTGCCAGGAAAGGGCTAGATGGTAGCTGTGAATGTGCAAAATCAATCTAAAAGCATTTCCTCTCGTTGCATAGCATATGTGTAAGCAAGAAAATCAGCTAGAGCTGGCTATTCACTTTGCCCAGTGGCTAAATGGATAAGGCATCAGCCCAAGAATTGTTGCAGAATTATATCCTTCACTGTAACATTTTGCTCACATGTGCCAACAGTTTTAGCAAGGACCTGCAGAAAGTTTTTCTTAGTAGCAGCTATTTGCTCGTTGTCTAGGGTATGATTCTCGCTTGGTGTAGAGTCCCGGTTCAAATCCCTGATGAGCCCATCTTTTACGTTTCAGATTGAAAATACTAATTGAACCCTGAGCCTGTGGCTACTGGGGTGTTTGAAGGCTGCATAGACACCAGTCAACACGACTAAGCTTCCCGTCATCGTATTGACGTCAACGGTCAAGGACAATGTTGATGCTAGTCTGTTGAGCAGAAAAGACTCTTTATTGGATTTCACCCATTCAGGTTTAGCCTACCTTTGGTTACTGCCTTGGAATACCAACTCTGGCGATGAAAACTAGCAAACTCTCAACCACACCAAGCAAGCTTTGTAACATAGTTAGTCAATTGCTGGCGGGACAATCATGTGATGTGAGCAGTCAAGCTCTGAATAAGGAGCTTGTTGATGCTAATCTGTTTATCATAGGAAGCCCCTTTGCCGGGAATGCATCGTCCAGGATGAATCAATTTCAGCCCTTGTCCAAAATAGGAAAAATGGACACAGGTCTTGCACGTAGATCATGAGATAAGGTTCCAGAGCTTTCCAAAGTCTGCCAGGAAAGGGCTAGAGGGTAGCTGTGAATGTGCAAAATCAATCTAAAAGCATTTCCTCTCGTTGCTAGCATATGTATAAGCAAGAAAATCTGCGTATACATAGACACCAGTCAACACGACTAAGCTTCCCATCATCGTGGCCATATAAAGTCAAGCCCTTGTCCAAAATAAGAAAAATGGACACAGTCCTTGCACGTAGATCATGAGATAAGGTTCCAGAGCTTTCCAAAGTCTGCCAGGAAAGGGCTAGATGGTAGCTGTGAATGTGCAAAATCAATCTAAAAGCATTTCCTCTAGTAGCTAGTATATGTGTAAGCAAGAAAATCAGCTAGAGCTGGCTATTCACTTTGCCCAGTGGCCTAATGGATAAGGCATCAGCCCTTGTCCAAAATAAGAAAAATGGACACAGGTCTTGCACATAGATCATGAGATAAGGTTCCAGAGCTTTCCCAAAGTCTGCCAGGAAAGGGCTAGACGGTAGCTGTGAATGTGCAAAATGAATCTAAAAGCATTTCCTCTCGTTGCTAAGCATATGTGTAAGCAAGAAAATCAGCTAGAGCTGGCTATTCACTTTGACCCAGTGGCCAAATGGATAAGGCATCAGCCCAAGAATTGTTGCAGAATTATATCCTTCACTGTAACATTTTGCTCACATGTGCCAACAGTTTAGCAAGGACCTGCAGAAAGATTTTCTTAGTAGCAGCTATTTGCCTCGTTGGTCTAGGGGTATGATTCTCGCTGGTGCTGGGAGGTCCCGGGTTCAAATCCCGGATGAGCCCATCTTTTACGTTTCAGATTGGAAAATACTAATTAACCCTGAGCCTGTGGCTACTGGGGTGTTTGGAAGGCTGCATAGACACCAGTCAACACGACTAAGCTTCCCGTCGTCGGCGTGACGCAACGGTCAAGGACAATGTTGATGCTAGTCTGTTGAGCAGAAAAGACTCTTTATTGGATTTCACCCATTCAGGTTTAGCCTACCTTTGGTTACTGCCTTGGAATACCAACTCTGGCGATGAAAACTAGCAAACTCTCAACCACACCAAGCAAGCTTTGTAACATAGTTAGTCAATTGCTGGCGAGACAATCATGTGATGTGAGCAGTCAAGCTCTGAATAAGGAGCTTGTTGATGCTAATCTGTTTATCATAGGAAGCCCCTTTGCCGAGAATGCATCGTCCAGGATGAATCAATTTCAGCCCTTGTCCAAAATAGGAAAAATGGACACAGGTCTTGCACGTAGATCATGAGATAAGGTTCCAGAGCTTTCCAAAGTCTGCCAGGAAAGGGCTAGAGGGTAGCTGTGAATGTGCAAAATCAATCTAAAAGCATTTCCTCTCGTTGCTAGCATATGTATAAGCAAGAAAATCTGCTTATACATAGACACCAGTCAACACGACTAAGCTTCCCGTCATCGTGTGACGTCAAGGGTCAACGGTCATCGCTGAAGCCCTTGTCCAAAATAAGAAAAATGGACACAGTCCTTGCACGTAGATCATGAGATAAGGTTCCAGAGCTTTCCAAAGTCTGCCAGGAAAGGGCTAGATGGTAGCTGTGAATGTGCAAAATCAATCTAAAAGCATTTCCTCTAGTAGCTAGTATATGTGTAAGCAAGAAAATCAGCTAGAGCTGGCTATTCACTTTTGCCCAGTGGCCTAATGGATAAGGCATCAGCCCTTGTCCAAAATAAGAAAAATGGACACAGGTCTTGCACATAGATCATGAGATAAGGTTCCAGAGCTTTCCAAAGTCTGCCAGGAAAGGGCTAGACGGTAGCTGTGAATGTGCAAAATGAATCTAAAAGCATTTCCTCTCGTTGCTAGCATATGTGTAAGCAAGAAAATCAGCTAGAGCTGGCTATTCACTTTGACCCAGTGGCCAAATGGATAAGGCATCAGCCCAAGAATTGTTGCAGAATTATATCCTTCACTGTAACATTTTGCTCACATGTGCCAACAGTTTAGCAAGGACCTGCAGAAAGATTTTCTTAGTAGCAGCTATTTGGCTCGTTGGTCTAGGGGTATGATTCTCGCTTTGGGTGTGAGAGGTCCCGGGTTCAAATCCCGGATGAGCCCATCTTTTACGTTTCAGATTGGAAAATACTAATTGAACCCTGAGCCTGTGGCTACTGGGGTGTTTGGAAGGCTGCATAGAC